TATTATACTTGTTTTTTATGACCAATCTATCCATTTATCTATCTTATGCATTTCAAATTGAGTTGCAATGCCAATACTTTCTGAATTCTGCATATTATTAACTAGATGAACAAACTATTTTGTCTTCTGAATCAACCAAATCATTCAGTCATACCTGTACTGGCTGTGTTGCCAGAACTCTGGTCTATGTTTGTGTCTGAAATCTTTTTGACCATGGAACATGTTCTTTTATCAAAAATTTTGAAAGGCCCTCCATCTCACCTTGTGTAGCACCAGGCATATGTTTCATACATAACCAGTTGATGCTGATGAGCAGACACAGAGCTAAAAAGCCAGAAAGAAACACAATAAAACCAGAATAAACTGGAGGAAGAGGAGAAAAAAGGAGTAAGTGAGAAGACCACAGGCACATGGGAGGAAGTGAAGCCAGGGCTTGAAGCACCAGGGGAAGAAGGATGCCTCAGACATTCAGTACTTCTATCTCCTACTTCCCAGCCCTCTCTTTATAAGGATAGGTTCCCAGAAACTAGGGACAATTGCTGCTTAGCAGAGCACATGACAACTCTCCTTGTTACCTCTTAGGTACCACCAATTAATTATTTATGTTGCTTCATGAATATGCAATTCAACCATAAGATATAGTTTGGCTTTGGAGGGTGTAGGTAGGCTACTGAAAATCTCTTTCAAACTCCATGTTCCAGCCAAAGAGCACATGAGTTCGATGAATACTAGTTTCCTTTTTCCTTGTAATCTTTCTTTTTAGTTGTGTTGCTTATAAATACAAGGATAGCTTTAATCTGCATTATTGAACACTTGTTTTGTGCTGAGTATTATGCTAGTTGCTATCACATCATTGATACTTTCCAATAACCTGATAATGTAGTGTTCATTCTCCATTTGCCAGATAAGAAAATTTGAGCCTTGGTATGGTCTTTTCCATAAGCCAGAATTCAGAAAATTCAAGTCTGTCTAACTCCAGAGCCTGGTAGCTGTAACCATTGTACAACACTGTCAGATGACATTAAAAAAAGCCAATGAAGTATAAATGCAAGAAAGTCTACATTCACTGTAGGGAACTCAGAATGTGACATATTCACTAAGCAAGTCCAATTTGGATCACTGAATCAAGAAATAAGTATGTCTTTAATCATTAGAATGTTGGCATAGTAATGGATTCAGATTGTTTGAGTTCAAATCCCAGTTCTAGTTCCATCACTAACCAGTCAAGTGACTGTCACAGTCATTTAACATCAGTTAGCCTAAGTTTTCTTGCTTATAAAATATAGCAGATAGCTGTATGGTGGGGACCCATTAAAACAGTTAATGTGGGGCTGGGGCTGTATGTGGGGCTGTAGCTCAGTGCTTGTCTAGCACATGTGAGGCACTGGGTTTGATACTTAGCACCACATAAAAATAAATAAATAAATAAACAAATAAATAAATATAATGTGTCTACCTACAATTTAAAAATATTTTTATGTAAAATCCCATACCACACCTGGCATGCAATAGATGTTCAGCATATTCTAGATCACTCTCATTCTTTTCTTCTTTTTTTGTGGGGACCAGACTTCTTACCTGTAGCTTTCACTTCAGGAAAATGAACTATTCCTGAAACATTTTTTTTGAGGGTTGATTGTTCCCAAGGCTGAACAAGAACAGTTGCCAACTCTCATGTGAACCATATTTCAAAATAAGCTAGAAACATGAACCCTAGGAGGATTCAGGTGGTCCATTTCTCTGCTTCCTGGAAATTAGGGCCAAATTGTGATAATCTATTTTGGCACTAGACTAAATTTTACAATTGGCATGGACTATTAGATTTGGGTATTGGTAAACCCATCCCAGCATTTCAAGGCAAGCAAGCTGAGGCAATGAGAGAAGTGACTTGAACAATTTCAAACAGTGAAAAAAATTAGTAGAGCTCAATTCTCCTGACTCCTTTTCCAGTGTTCATTCTTTGGTTCATCTATGGGTTCTCAAGCAAGTGAAACCAAGCCTTGAAGTGTGCTCTTCACAAGAGATGGAACTGTTTGGACTCTCAGGGATTGGTACAAGTTTGATTGATTCAGAAAATATGAAGCTTTGTTCTGGTTCAAATCATTTCACTAGTTTTTTTTATTGCATTCAAACTGTTAACATTTCTTTTTTGTTTGAGGTTTAGCAAATTAGTGTTGTTTCTCCCTGTTTAGGTTCATGGTTTGGTTCAAATTCTTGGTTCTTTGAAATCTTCCTTTGGGATTTTTGTTTTTGACAAAAATACTCAGAATCCAAGGTGGCTAATGACAGGAATTCATTTGAAAAGATCAGTCATGCTTGGTGACAGCTTTGTGGAGGAGCTTGGGTGGTTTAGGAAACCATTAGTGCTTACATTATGGAACCTGACATCAGGATAAAGAAACATTTCAACAGTTTTTGGTGTTTATGTTTGTATATTTTTATCAGGATGCTCTGATGCTTTTGTTTCTATTCTTGCCAATCTGGGTTGAAACTGCTGCCTCCACCTCATTGCGTTTTGGGACTCTGTCAGTCATTTTCTTGATATGAGCCTAATATTTTGACTATGGGAAAGAAACTAACTAAAATTGTCTTCCCTGTCCTTTTCCCTTTACTTTGGACTTTCTGAGGAATTTGGGGAATGTCAATTTTAAGCTTAAATTTGTGGAGTTAGTTGCAGTTCTCAAAGGCAGAGCAGCATAATCCTGCAATACAGCCTTTGTTTCTTCTTTTACCACTGTGAAAGTCTAGGGTAGGCCCCTTGCAGAACCTGAAATTGGGCTAACACCTTTCCTAGTGGCCCATAATGCCACAGGTGAAGCTGTGGTAGACAGTTGTAGTGATGAGGCCTCTGAAGAACTGTATCCTGCCTGCTTGGCTTTCTGCATGCCACAGGATAGCAAGTTCTGATGCTAGGGCTGCCAGTACCTTTTCGAATTCTTAACTGTTTACCTAAACAGATAGAAAGCTAGAGTTGCAGCTGTGGTAGTAAAAGGGCTATTCCTAATATCTTTCTTTCTAAGAGGAGGTGAGATTTGGGATGAACCAAGCAAGTATTTCTGATTAGAAAGTTAGTTCTCACTTTAGATTCATTCTCTTTATTCTTACCTCTCCTTCCTCTCTTCTCTGCTCTCTTCAGCTCTCTTCACTTCTTTCCTCCTAGCTCCTTCTTCTCTTCCCCATTTTATTGGCTCATTTGGTCTTAGCTACCAGTCACTTAATGCTTTGTGATTCACAGAATCCATTTTCTCCATTGATTTAATATAGATTTTGGATATACATTTTAATGGCAGTTCAGTAGTGGATATGACACTCAAAAAGGCAATTAGAAAAAAAAGTTTTCTTTCTTCTTGCAAAAATTAAGCTAAGCACTTGCTTGAGGACACAGATGGCACTGGAGGGGGCCAAGAGGAGCTGACATATGATATTTCTGTTATAGCCCCCACAATTTTTTTGGTTGCTTCAGATTTGGTCCATGTGGATAGACACATACTTGGGTAACCATCATACAGATGGAAATCAGGACATGTGGGATTTGGCTGAACCAAAGGTCTTCAAACATTGTCTGGATCATTTAGTGCCCCAGGTGTGGCCACCCCAGGACTTCGTGTGCTAAAATTGTGTCCCAGCTTAAGCCAGCTGATCACTGTATATATAGTATCAAGGCAGCTTGGAGTCTTATAAAGCATGTCTTTGGATTTTTACCTTGTGGATTTAGATTTAGTTAATCAATTCAAATCCTTTCTCACATACTGGACAGAGAGGATGTACCAGGTAAATAGAAAGATTTAACAAAAGGAGATGCTTGACCCATAGTTTGCATCCTAGATGGGGTGTAATACCAGAACATATAAAGAAAAATGGACCAACTTCCAGAAATGAAAGATAGAATTAGAGGGCTCCAGTCTCTTTAAGATGCTTTTGGTATATTATATGTCACATTTTAAATTTTTTAAAAATTCCCCTTTTGTGGAATTTTAAGAACAAACTGTTCTTTTTAATTTCAAAATTTGAAGAGTGAAGCAATGTTTAATGAAATTATATTGGCCCTTTCTTTTTATTTGCCTTATATGAGAGAAGTGCCTCACTTCAATCATTTAAGCAGAACTTGTTTTCGGTGTAGTAATAATAATACCATACAACTGAATATCCCTTTATAATTGACAAAAGTCTTGTCATATCCATTATCTCATTAACTTTCACAATAATCCCATGAAGCAATCAAGATAAGTAGTATTATCTCCTATAAATGAGGGAACTTAGGCTCAGAGAAGTTAAATGACTCATCCAGGATCATACAGCTAGAAAGATATAAAACTGTAACCTGAACTCAGGTTTCCTGATACCCACTCCCAATGCTCCTTCGATTGTGTCGTGTTCCCTCCCTAAGAAACTATCTGCTTTTTGTTCCTACTCATGATTACTTTTAAAATATGTCTAAAAATGTGCTTCCATTTAGCAGATGAGTAAAACTGAAGCACTTAGAGGTAAAGTGACTTCTTATAACTAACAAGTGGATCCTTCATCAAGCACTTGGCTTTTTACCTTGACTTTAACTGAACTGTTTTTAGGTAGTGATACATTTTTTTCAGTATTAAATATATGCAGGAAAGTTGTGTGATCCACTGATTATAGGTGTGAAAGCTGCACCTGGGGAATGGGACAAGGGATGAAAAGTTAGCTTAAAATAATTAGCTTCTTACTGTTTCGTTAAGAGATGTCATGTTCAATAGAATTTAATTTCTTTATACTTCCTTTGCTTCCAGCCTTTTAAATACAATTCTTTAGGGAAAATTAGCAAATATTCATTCTGAATGTTGATTTCCCAGGAACAAGGGTAGCCAGAGGAAAGAGAAATTGGAGGGGCGACTTTCTGTGCCCTGTAAGAGTGGGCAAGCTTTATTTTGTTTAGAGCTGCGAGCTAAGATTTCTTCTGAGGCATGCAAATCGTAAAGTTCTGATTTGTCAACTGCATGCTGTTTCTTTAGGCACTGATGTATGAAATCCCGAACGAATTCTCCGATGAACATACTGCTAATTGCTTCTCCACCTGCTCTCCAACCTCCTCTACCCCACCCCCTCCACTCCCAATTCAGCCTATAAGTGTCCGTCATTGGAGATGGATGGTGACACATGCAGTAATAGCAATTCATAAAAGCCAGTTCCAGCCCTTGTCTTCAAGGCTCCTGGATTTTCCACTGCCTGCTTTTGTGTAAGTGAAGTGGATGGAAGTGCTACTGGCATCAGAATCCACCTCCTTATGCTCCGTTGCTAGAGCTCAGTTCCTCGGCTGGAGCTGAGCTAAACAGAAGCATCGGATCTGAGCTGAATTGGGCTTTTTTTTTTCCTCAATGGGGAGGTGGGTTAGGGATAGTGTGTAGTGGGGATTTGGGGTGCTTTGGCTTTTCTTTTTGTGGAGAGAAGAGGGTAAAGAGAATAACTCACAGTAGGATACAACGTGAAACTGTTCCCTGAAGAGTGTCACAATGTTCCTGGTACAATATACAGGTATAGTATGTTTCATTTTATCTGAAATTTCCCTTTTGTTTCAAAGTGCATTTCTCTCTCTCTTTTTTTTTTCCTCGCAGTTCAACTGTACTGAAGGACAAATAGGATTCTAATGAGCTAAACAAAATAGCTGCATAAAATATGCCTGCCCCTAGCTATAATGTTAGTAGCAGATTGCTGGGTAAAAGCTGGGTTTTCTGTTAAATTGGTAGTCCCGATCCCTAAATTGTGCACGCTTCTCTGCTGTTTTGTTGTATTGAATTTCTCAAGTCTTAGGTCTGCAACTGGTAGTATGTGATACAGCTTAGAGTGTTTGCACAGAAGACACAGTGCTTTGGAAGCAAAAAGCAAATTTTAAACACTTAGGTTATTGTGCTTCTCTTGAGTTTTTTAACTCCTGTTTTTATTAATTGGTTGTATAGATTTGTCATATGGATAAGAGTGAGAAAACTTCAAATAGGAAGCATTCCAGAGCACATCTGTTTGGTAAATTTTATTTATTTTCATTTCATTATTAAATTCAGGTTGATGAACATTATATATTATTGTTTGTTTATTCTCCTGCTAGAGGAAAAGTGTTGGAAACAGCAAGGCTAAAAATGCCAGCCTCAAACCATCTGTATTATAAAATATCTTTGGATCAGAAGTGTCCCTTAAGTATTCTTGTAGGCTGTCAGAAAAATACTGGTTCATAATATTGAAAAACTTAAAGACTCTGATCAGATATTTGTGAACATTTTTTGAAAAGCTTCTTATACAGCAGTTAGATTGAAAGAAAGGACCCTTGCAAATGAAAAACTCTGAGAAAGTTTCACTTTCTTGCAAACAGAATGGAACAGAAGCTTAGTTTCTCCAAACACATGTTTTGATAAGTTCGAATATCATTTATTGTCAAGGACTTTCATCTCCATTCTTGCTTTATTATCCTTAAAATATTGTGTTCCTGTGCTAAAGAGCTAAAAGATCATGTTCTGTTTTGATGTGTGGTTTGACAGTTGATTTCACTCCTCATTAATTGGACAGCATACAGATGATGTGGAGAAGTGAGTGAGTGACAATATTTCAAGGTTACGTTGAAGAGCATACAGTGAACCTTAGTGCCTGGACCAACAGCTGCTGAATTGAATTGTCTGCAATTAAAGCAACAGCAGGTTTGTGTAGTCTCCCTGCAGTCCATTTATTTGAATTTATAGCTTTGGTTTCTTTTTTGGGTATCAGTTGGTGTGCTTTGCTAAGTGTTGGAAAGTTGTGCTTGCTGGATGTCTTCCCTATACTCCAATGCATGCTTGACTCTGGAAGAGCCATCTCTGTATGTTTGGTTGTGAGAAGTTGTTGAGGTTTTTCTCATTTGGTTAAAACCACAGACTGTCTTATTTTCTCCACTACAAAATTAAATAGATATATTCTTATGGAAAATATTGTTTTGTTCAATAAATAGAGGTTTCTCATGGAATGATGTTACTGGTTTAAGTTTCTGGCAGTGAAAAATACTGGATTTTGTTATGCTACTGAATTACTGTGAAAAACTTCTCTATAATAATAAAAATGTTTATGTTAAAATACTTGATGACATTATCTCCTTGCCATCTCAATCCCAAGGTGACCTAATGAATAACATGAAACCCAAATAGGTGACTTTTGTGACTGAATTTTATTTGTGTGTCAATAGTGAATACATATTTAATTTCTTAATGGTTTTACCCTACTAAAATTATAATTACAATATAATTGTTGGTTATTGAATCACAGTGAATGTTGTATGAATCATTTATACAGTGATTTAATATAGACTGTCTTAGTTTGTTCTTATAACAATCCGGGTGACAACCGTAGTGATATGATCTCATCTTATAAGTAAGAAAACTGAGATTCAGAGGATAAGTAACTGGCCTGATGTCTCACATCTAATAAGTGTCAAGACTGAATTCATAGGTTATAGCATCTGATTAAAAATCTGTAGTTTTTACTTTCTTACATGACACTGTCTCTCAGATGATGAGACCAGGGTAAATTTGACTTACGTTACTAGTCAAGAAGACTAAATGGAGTTATTTACTAAAAAACTATATTATTTGATAGAACTGTAGGGATTGTTTTCAGAACTATTTTAATCCAACATTTATTTTAAGTGCCTTCCAGATTTATTTTTATAGATACTTAAGATACACTAGTATTTTGATTAATGTATACATCAATATGAATGAAAATAGAAATTTGAAGTTTTGGGGAAAGGAAATGTTGTCTAATACAAAAGGTAATGTGAAATATTTTCCTTCTAAAAAAGCTAATTGATTTCAGTATTCTGCTCAATGATCTTATAAGATTGTTTTCATAAATGTGTGTATATTTTAAAATATTCTGGCCATGAGTGTCAAATACTGTTTTTAAAATTAGAATATTTTGTCCAGATTAAATGAAAAATATAGCTAGTTCAGATTCACTCCTTTTTTCCTCTTTGTTTCTTTTTCTCTCTCTTGTCAGCCTTTCCATCTTTTTAAATTCTCAATGGTTTCTCACTTTTAAATCCATTACTTTTAAGGAAAAAAATTACTTTCTGTCCTACTGAAAAAGGGACTATTATTTAAAGCTGCACTATCAATTCTGCAAATGAACCCAGGTATCCTACTAGGTCTCTAGAAAAACTTTTTGTAAAACCTCTTAGGGGGGCTGGGGATGTGGCTCAAGCGGTAGCGCGCTCACCTGGCATGCGTGCGGCCCGGGTTCGATCCCCAGCACCACATACCAACAAAGATGTTGTGTCCGCCGAGAACTTAAAAAATAAATATTAAAAATTCTCTCTCTCTCTCTCTCTCTCTCTCTCTCTCTCTCTCTCTCTCTCTCCTCTCTCACTCTCTCTAAAAAAAAAAAAACCTCTTAGGAAAAATGGAATTTTAAAGAAGGACAACTCTTCTACAGCATTTGACAATATCTGAGAATGTTATCAATAAAATGAGCCAGAGATAGGGCAAATGTTGTTATAAGCTGTTCATGAGACTTTTAGGAAGATGGTAAAGATGGTAATGGGTATATATTGTCTTGTATACCTCATAATGAGAATTTATCTTTATTCTAAGATGATATTTTTATACTTCAGTGCATCTTAAAGTAAAGCAGGACATATTATTCCCTTCTGATAAAAGAAGAAGAGGGCAATAGAAAGCCCTTTCATTGTTCTTTAAACTTAAACGATCTTTGACACTTAAAAAAATACAGGAGGGAATTGTGGGGAATAGGTCAGTATTAGAGAAGGGAGAACTAGGAAAACTAGGCATGTGATTGGAAGCTCCATATTAAACTTGTTTTCAGATAGGAATTTTCTGTGAAATTGGAAGCTCGGGCTAACACCCTAATGTGCCAATGCTTTTCCTGGGAACAAGCACTCTGTATTTAAATGAAAAAAAGGAGCTTATAGGGGCTTTTAAAGAAATTGACATTTTCTTATTGGTGAAGGAAAAAAAGCTATCATTTGCAAAATAATCACTTTTCCCCTGAACTGTTTGAGGCCAGGATAAATTAGAGAGGGGTGGATTTCTGTCTGGTTGTTTGGGGAAGGGAAGTTGAATTGTCTGGTGGATTTTCTTCTTTATACACTTGTAAGTGTATTTTAGAGGCGTGAAGGGCAGGTCTTATGGATGGGAGTATAAGGGTTAGTATATACTAGCCAATGGTGTGCTGGAGCCTGCTTGCACTAGCTTAAGGAGATCACTATGAATATTTATAAATTTAACTACTTAATTTATACCTTTTCCAAAAAGGACTTAATGTATTCATTATGAATAATAATCAAGGCATGCTGTCTATGCAGGACATTTATACTGCAGATGCCTCTTGGGCTGCTAAACTATACTGATTGACATCCCGTAAACATAGCAGTGATACATTCAAGGGTTATTAAACATAACACAGTTAGTGTCCCCCTCCCATACATATACATAATAATGTTTAGCTAACATTTATTGAATGCTTATTCTATGCAGGGCCATATTGTAAATACCTTATGTATATGAACTCAAAAACTTTCCAGGACTCTCATTAAATAGGTAGTATTATTTCCATTTAAAGCTTAGAAAAAATGAGACCCAGACTTTAAGTAAACTGCCTACCAGGTAACATTGTTAATAGGTACCAGAATCAAGGTTTGATCTCCAAAAACTTGTCCTCAGAGCCCATGCTCTTAACCCACTGTGTAATATGTGGTGTGTCTTTAAGAGCACTTCATTGAAGGTGTTTGCCCAAACTGTGCCGTGCAGAGCAGATATACCATTGTCCATGACTTTGGAAGACTTGTGCAGCACAATGTTGTCTCCTCACCAGACTGTTAAAGATTTTTTCCGTTCTCTCTGACCCTCCTCATTGGTACTCTGTTCACAGAGTCATAGAAGATCATTGCATCCCCAGCAGTTTCTAAAACACTGCCACTACTAATGTTCTTTCTTCAGATTTTTGGCTTTGTTTTAAAAATCTTTCATGTTCTGTTGCTTCTATCTTGATTCTCAGCCTTTTGCAACAAGAAACATTGCCAACCAGAGTGTAATTTTTCTTCTATGCAGCCAAATGACCAATCATAACACATCTTCCCAGCATCTACTCTCGCCCCACTCCATTTTATGCATAGCTGTTACAGGGTTTTTCCTAAATGCAGATTTTATCCTGTCACTCCTCTCCTCAGAAATTTTCTAAAGGATTTTGTTTTTTTTGTGCAGGGCCATGTTGTAAATACCTTATGTATATGAACTCATCAACTTTCCAGGACTCCCATTAGGTAGGTAGTATTATTTCCATTTAAAGCTTAGAAAAATTGAGACCCAGACTTTAAGTAAACTGCCTACCAGGTAACATTGTTAATAGGTACCAGAATCAAGATTTGATCTCCAAAAACTTGCAGAGCCCATGCTCTTAACCACTGTGTAATATGTGAATGCCCATTTGGGGCATTCACAATCATCCATGGTCTCATCCCAGCCACCCAGAAAGCCTTTACACCCTGATCTTTCACTATACCATGCAATGTATATCCTATTTATTTAGCAGCTAGACCACTTCTGGGTCACTGGGTACACCCCCAATTTTTAAGCTCTGTACATTTCTCTGTGCTGTTCTCAAAATATTTATATTACTATTCTTGCACATCTCTAAGAGCCACTTGACCCTTAAGGTTCAGTTCAAATCACATCTGCTACTGTATCATAGTACTTATTGTCTGTCATCCACCAGTAGGCTCAATTCTTGGTCATTAACCATATTTTATTGATCTCTTAGAGCAAAGCCTAGTATCTTGCACATAGTTACCTCCCACATAAATATTAGGTGCAGCTGTACCAACAAAGAGGTTTTTCTCCTCTTCTGCTAGCTCCAGGTTCAGCGCTGTACCATAGCCCAAGAGTTCCAGAAGTTGAATGGGTACATTGCTTCTGTTTTATGTATATATTTTAGGATATTGGTTAAAATGAGTTGTTTCTGTTTCAACTGTCTTCTTGATTTTTTTCCTCTATACTCATCCTTGCATGGTTTGATTATACCTTCAAAGCTCCTTCTTTTGTCTTTGTGGAATAACCTTTCACTTTTGTAGAGAGAGAGACAGACTTGCCTATGTACATATATTAATGCTTAATCATACAAGAAAATTAATCTGTATACATAAAATGATAATTAGAAATTTTATTTTTATTGTCATGGTTTTAAGATATGTGATACTTTTAAATTTAAATTTATTTTAATATAAAATATAAAACTGTACATATTAATGGGGTACCATGTGATGTTTCAGCACATATATATACTGTAAAATGTTCATATCAGCAAAAACATCTATCCCCTTAAACATTTATCATTTCTTTATGGTGAAAACCATAAATACTTTCTTCCAGATATTTTTAGATATATTGTACATAATTGTTATCTTTAGTCACTGTACTATGTGCACACCAGATTTCTTACTCCTGTCTACTTGTAACTTAGTATTTTCTATGGATTTGATGTTAATTACATTGTAGAAAAAATATTGTTGAGATGATTTGAATTTTTTGTTTTGGCACTGAAAGTCTAGGTCTTATATGATGTCAACCCAGTGCTGTCCAATAGAACTTTTTGCAATGATGAAATATTCTGTATCTCCACTGTCATCACAGTAGCCAGTAACCACTTGTGGCTA